GTGACCCATTCAGCTAGTACACCGACTTTATCTTAGGAAGTCTGTCCCGCAAGACACGTGCCGAAGAGTTTATTGTCTTTTCACACACCTACATTGTCCTTCGAAAGATTCGTTACATTTAAACCTTGAAGTCGCTTCCTACAGCAATTTGGCATTTTCGTATCATATACTATCTTTCTAAACGTTATTTTTTATGTTTAATCGTGTTAAATTTTCCAGACGATTTCAGTTAAATTATCCAACATTATGTTGAAGAAAACATGATGATGACTCCCCACCGTTAAATCAAGTTTTGACCACTGCTGCCAATGTTCACAAATGATTTGAATTAATATTTGCATCATTCGTGAGCAATGATTTTAAAACCACATTATTCTGGATATAACATATTCCTTTTTGAGAATTCGTATCGAGGAAAATGTTTGCGAGCTCGATTTTGAATTAAGATAATTTATTGCTGTAAAAACGAAATTAAATAGGTGTTCTGTGTTTAAAATCGCCCTAATGAAAAACATAAGTTCTATGGTAGGAAGCTGTTCATATAAAGTAATATTAGTTTTGTTTCACTAGGGTCTTTTTACGATAATAAGGTAAACGCTGTGAGCATTTTATCCTGCAGGATGAAGTAAACTAGAAGGAACATAACTATTAGTTTTTAATTCATAAATAAGCGCCGACTTATATAAAACATAATGGCTATAAATAATGCAAGATTAGTAGAATTAGTAGCTCCGTGTGTATGCAACACGCCGTGAAGATGTTTTACATGAGCAGAAATGTTCATAACCTTGGCCCCCGATGGGATGGGTATCTTGCTTTGTACTCCTGTCGGCATTTCTCCTGGAGAAGAGACTCTGGTATCTCATGAAATAGGCTTAGATTCAAAACAGCGATAAGTCTTTCTGGACTTGGTAAACAAACTAATTTTTCAACGCACCTTCAGAAAATCGAAATCCTGATATCTGATCCGTATAGCCGATCACATTACTGATCTGTTACTTTCTCAGTTTGTAATATTAATAATTAATTATTTCGCGTTCTTCGACAAAAAGAGACGGACAATTTACTGAGTATTCTATTTGGTGAAGGCATTTTGCTTTGTTTGAAATATGAGTTATAATCACATCGAATAGTACTTCCTTCCAGACAGAATTACTACGATAGAAAGATGATGTTTTTCTCTGCTGCTGTTCTGACATATAATTTGGCCCTATTTTTAAACCGTGAAACACATTAATGAACACTAGAATATAATTATATGGTTATTTTCCTCCTGCCGGCCACGTTCGGCTGTTGCTTTCTGTAGCCGTCGTTGAATAATCGTGTAGGTAGTCGTGCTGCTTAGATGTGCGCTAACTTGACTATTACCAGTGCGATCATGATTTGCCGGTCTTGGAACGTTATATCTTGTATATAATTATACTTCGCAGTATAGTTTTGTCACTTTCGTATGAGTAAGGCCTGAAATAATACCAGAACTTCTTCCCGAAAATTATTTTACCGTCAATCTGAAGAGATCACAGCCTTTTATTCTGGAATGTCTAATGTGTTCAATATTCAGTGGTGAGCATTTTTAAAATAACTATTTTCAGTTACTGTTGAAGGATTCGAAAGTTGTTTAAGAAACAATGTGATCATTTTACAACATAAATGATCGTTGCGTGCTCTTTTTTCTTCATTCTTGTCGGATAATTTTCTGGTTTTTCACAGATTTCACAACTTTGTTGGTTAGCCCACTGTTACTCTAAAGTCTTTAAATTTATCGAAATCTACTAAACCTCTTCTGTATGTTTAGCTTATTGGTGGAATTTCTGGGAAGGATGAAAGTAATGAGCGGAGATTACATTTCCTTTTTTATTTATTTATGTGTACCAATCTACATGTTAAAGAATGTAGAATTATTTATCCTAAATATCACCGAAGATTATAATAGTACAGCATTTGTTAAGTGTCTGATGCCTGCGGGATATACAGTAATTTATGTCCATTACGCTTATCAGATTATAGTTATTTCGCGTAGCAAAATGAATGTGACGTCAACACCACGTTCTACCCCGTGTTTTCAGTCAGTACATGTCAGAGGACATTTATAATGGTTCTCAAAGTTTTTCAGCTTCCTGAATGTTGACATCAGTTGTAGACTGGCAACATTAAACTCGTCTGGAACGCCGTATTTACATAATACAACAGTTTGGCGTAGCTTAAGGTTAAATGGGTTCCAGAACAAGTGACCTTAGTATTTGATTCAGACGAGAGTTTTTAGTTTCGTAGTCACGAACTGGATGCACTTCACTTGTTTACCCGCTAGCGGCCAAGTGCTAGACATTCCTTTTTTGTATTCGGCAGGTATTGGGTTCAAATCTCGACCCTGAGGCCAGCTGTCGCGTTTGAGTGCTTTTCTTTCAGTTTTCCTAAATAATACCAGTCAAATTCCGAGATATTACTATTTATTTGGCCATGACTGGTTCCTTCTGTATCCCTTCCGATTCATAATTTATTATCATTTTATCTTTATGTAATATGAGCTACTAACGGCGTCGCTAAATAAGCCTTAACTAAATTAAAAAAACGTTGGCGAACTTTAAAATTTACAAATGTGAACCTCTTCTCGATCAATACAGTTTGATTGTAGCATTAAATTTTAAAAGCCAATAAAAAGATAGATCCTACGGTCGCGATGGTTTTGATATTTGATTTTTTATCGCAAATTCTGGTACTTCTCTTAGTAAATGGCACGTACGTTGTTTTATATAATTATTAAGTAAATTATAATTCGGTGGTTATGGGGTAGTGTGGATTTATGAAAGCGATATTGCTCCTTCCAGACCCCACACACTTGCCAACACGTTCCCGTCTCAGTTTGAAGAATTTTGGCCACGGAGTCATTGTAACAGTAGATCAAGATGCGTGGATTGAGGACCCGCCCTTTTCACTTTGTGGTTGAAGTGATGTAGGCTACTGGATACCAGAGATGAAATAACTGGTTTTCTGTGTATTTGTAACAGTATGTATACACTTAAGTGCTTACGAAAACTGACTCGGTGACTTACTAACCACATACTCAGCGAAATGTAATTTTAAGTCACGCAGAACCAGATCGCCAGAAAATGATGCGAGTGTGTTATTTACATTTAATTCTCAATACGTTTTTCTCTACTACAAAATTCTTTAGTTAAAATATTGTTGCTGTCAAGACCAGCTCCTTACAGTGCCTGATTTTGGTACGGACATAGTTTTGATGGGATTTTCATGTTTCCAGTACATAACTAACTAACTATTTGGCTTACCGAACCCGAAGGTTCATCACCGAATTAACCAAAGCCCTCCACCGGACCCTGTCCTGGGCCAACAAAATCCAGTCTCCTTCAACTCCTCTCTCCCATAGATCCCGCCTGAGATTATCCTCCCATCTAGTTTCCAGTACATATTTAAATTAAACGTAATATTATATTTGAAAATGTCACCACTCGTTTAGATGAGGGTCTGACATGTACCGCTGCACTGACCTTTAGCTCCCAGCAAACTTCTGACGCCTGAATAGATACTACTCATGCAATTTAAACTTTATCATGGAATTGTATCGTAATTTATGCAAACACTAATACAGTACCTACATCTCTACGTAGGGACATACTTTTAGAGTTTCATATTCTAATTCGAGACATTTTCTTAGTTTTAGTAATTTAGTCATTGTAACCTGACCGATCTGCGCTCCTAATGTCCTGTTTTACGACGTTCAAAATGTGAGCGTAAAATGTGTCAAGAAATGACAATTTGACTCACAGTAGATGTTTTTGTTCATAAAAACGATTTCACAGTTAGAAGTAGGCACTATAACACATGAGTAATATTTATTTACGTATTTACAGACAATATATTTTTATTATGCGACTTTCATAATCGAAAACAGAGTAACTGTTCCCTTTACGTAATTCGTCTCTACAGAGTTCTGCGTATAGGCCGGCAATTGCAGAGTTGTTACCACAAACAAATTTACGGGCATATATCTCGTTTAACAAATTCTTCTCGGGCTACCAGCCGTCTCAGGTGGTTGGAAGGCGAAGAAAGCCAAGTTTTGAAAACTACCTTCGTCCGGATCATACATCTCGTATATCGTCGTCGTTATTATTGTTATTATTATATATTATGCAGGGATTTGGACATATTCGAGACGAAAATTGTCACACTTCTTCACATTTTATAATAGTATAATTTACTTAATTGATTCATGTTATTTTTCCAAATATCGTAATACAGTTAGTAGTAATTTTTTGTGTATTTTTTTCCGTATCAATGTATTTTATATATTGCTTGTTTTACCTTTTATGTTTTACTGTGTTTGTGAGTTTATCTCTGTGCTGTATCTGTAATTGGCCATCAGGCTGTTGATACAGCACACAAATAATAGAGAATTGAATTGAAAGAATTGAATATACGTTACGTGATAAATTGTTAATTTTTGCACCACGAGTTTATTTAGGCACTGTTGACATGTTTGTCGTAATTTATAATAATAAGCATTGAAGAATACAATTTTACTGCTCTTATACCACAATTTTCTTATATTTAAAGCAAATAAACTTTGAACATTTAGTTGATGCCGAAATTTCATTTTCGTGTTTTGTCCGTGCATCGGAATCTCGTTCATCGCCTGCTTGTTACAAAAGAATATTTATCTGTGAAGGAATTTTTCAAATCTTGATAGACAGGAATAATTATCATATTCTAGTCCCTTCTGTTACTTATAAAACGCTTCAAGAGTGAGGTTAATTTTGAATAATTTTCTGTTATCATCGAAGATAGAAGAGTGAATTTTCTGTAATGGTCTGAAAAGGAGGTTATGAAGCTGCTGATAAGTTACCATTTCATTTGCATTGGTATAGTTATAATGTAACGGGTGTATTAACATAGGCGAGACTACTTAGAATAGCCGCCCAGCGTTCACACTTCCGCGTGTTAACTGTCGTTCCGGGCGACCTTGGTATGAAAGAGCAACGTACCTGTTGGTCCTTGACGGTTAGTTGGGGGATGCTACTTGTTTTCCTTCCTTGTACAGTCGGGCTGTCCTTTGGTTTCTGCTCGTGGCGCCTTCGCTCTGTCGGTTAGAGGGAATTATTGCTTGGTGAGGGTCGGTTCTTGCGTGAAGATGACGACTGCCCTTGGCCTTGCCAGTGTTCACCTTCACATCCAACACACTAATGCTGAAAGCGAATCCCGACCAGCCACTTTTCCTGTTTGACGCTGTACGCTGAGGTCTCCGCACTCGTCCAAGAAGAAGCAACAGTAGGTATGGTGGGGGGAAGTAAAACAGGTGGAATTAACAGGGGGGAGGGAGGGAGAGGAGAAACCGCGGATGGAGGTGTACACCAAGAAAAACTAAGGAGTTCTCTGGTTGGCTGGAGCCACTAACATCATCAAATTTGATCTCTTTCGCGTATTCGTATTCTTCTTGCATTTGTTATTGTTTTCGTGTTATTTATTGGACTCTTTTTGTTTGGAGTATTTGTGTAATGTTATTGCAGACTATATCCAGTGAGCCAATGAAATGTTAGAATCAAACGATTTGTGTAAGAAATGTTATGCTTAGGGAGGTTCAATAAACGCCAAACTTTATTACGTCACTATCCCACTATTTAGGAGATACTGGAAGATTATGTATACATATCACGTGACTACCTCAAAACCAATAGCTGGACGATGTACCAAAAGTTATGATCGACTTCACAGTTAATGAAATTTCTTGCAACATTAAAATACTGTCTCGGTAGAACTGGCGTGAGTCTCCGAATCGTAGTATTCAGCTGCTACTTTCGTGGTAGCTGTCTCATAGAGTATCTGCCACTGGTATAGAACAGTGAATGTTAATTAATCGTAAATTTTGTTGACTGGAGATGCTGCAGAGAAATCGAAAATGTAGGCCTAGTCGTTGGATTGTGCACAAAGTGTGTGACTAAGTTGCACTTTCAAAATTTAGGGTTGTGGGGCTTATAGCCTACAAAATAATTGTTGATGTTGGTCTTTTGGGTTGGTATCTACCCAAAAGTAGATACCAGAGTTTCAGAGGAACACAGCACGTGCTGAAGCTGGAGGTAGTGTTTTTCTTCCTTCAAGGTCACACGGCGTTTCAACTCAGAGGACCAACTACGACGTCTTTACTGCAGTGGGGACTTCAAACCACGTACACGTGTTGTCACATTCGATATATTTCTCAGTCTGCTCACTTGAAACAACTTGGATTTGCATGACATGACTTTTGGTGTTGTTTAGCACAAGAAGAAGGATTTTTAAATATGATAGTTCTGTTATCGGGATTACTCTCAATTGTTGCTCTGGTTGCTATATTGAACAGAGTTAGTTTAAATTCCCGACAGAATTAGTCTCGAATTTTAACAATTAAACTAGAATCAAGACAGTCAACATTGGAAGGGGAGGGGCTGAAGTTTCGATTACAGTAACCGACTTTGGGACGATTTATAATAGACCCTGCTCGTCGCTTCTGCTAATGAGACCCCGATTGAAACGATAGGCTGTTCATGAAACACATCCATAGTAGCATGTGCTTTATAGTGTTATATGTTATGGATGAGATCTCTACTTACTATGGGAAATATCTGTAAATATGACGAAATTAGTTTTGAGGATGCAATGTGAAGGGTGATTAAGTCGAGAAGAATGAGATGGGCGAAGCATGTAGCGCGCATGGATGGGGCAAGAGGTGTGCACCGGGTATAGGTTGGGAAGCCTGAGGGGAAGAGACCGCTGGGGAGACCTAGACGTAGATGGGAGGATAATCTCAGGCGGGATCTATGGGAGATAGGAGTTGAAGGAGACTGGATTTTGTTGGCCCAGGACAGGGTCCGGTGGAGGGCTTTGGTTAATTCGGTGATGAACCTTTGGGTTCGGTAAGCCATCTAGTTAGTTAGTTAATTATTCTCTTAGCGTTTGGACATAAGTAAGAGAAACTCGCAGGAGAAATGAACACAAATCAATAAGGTTTATTTTTTTATACACTGTTATTAAAATGATTAAATGAGGCAGAACGAGATGGACAGGGCATAAAGGACGCATTGCTGACATGGAAAATACTCACAGAAATTTTATAGAAAACGTCATGGTAAGAGACCACTCTAGATACAGTCAATATTAAACAGATTGTTAGAGAAATAGGGCATTTTTAAATTTAGGGAATTATGAAATTTAAATAACGATTTTAGATGCATTTTGTTCGATATCGACAGAGAACTATGTTCTCTGAGGACACTGGATTTTTTTTAAAAACAATGGTGATGAATACCCATGACTTAAACGTGGTTCTTATACATGGACGAACAAATGTTACGTGGGCTACTGACATTGTTCTCATTTCGACTTTCCTGAATGGTTTCTGGTGTATTCTATAGGAATTATTTGGCTCTAATGGCATATATCACCTGTAGATTCCATAGGCCATCGCCATTCCATGTGTCGTGATTTAAATAGGCAACTAACATTGGCTTTCATTAGCCACTATAATCATCTTTTAATAAATATTTAACAGCGAAAGGGGAATTACTTTTCTGTACATTCATATGTTATGCAGATGAAGGTGTAGTAATTCTGAATTACGTATGGTGAGTATCATCAACATATAAAATCTTGAAGATTTCTGTCTTCTGGGTTGTTGCGCTGTGTAGTCTGGTCAATGTTTACCAACGTTTCAGAGGTCATACTGCCTCCATCATCAGGGCAATGAATATTCACACAGTGCAACAACCCAGAAGACAGAAATCTTCATACTCACCGCTGTGAAAACCTCAAATCTTACATATAAAATCTTTTCTTTAGGATGTTATCGGAGTTCGATGTGGTAATAAGAAATTCGTTACTAGGGTCATAGGTGAGGTGTTTGATGTCCATGACAGTGGAGTTACCATTGTCACGTGATAAGAAAATATTCATTTTTGAGTACATCGGTGGCGTAGGGATGCAACCAACAGACGGACCAGCTGCTGTTTGGGTCAGTGACCTGCGCAGATGATTCGTTTGCTGCTTACTGTCTCGAGGTCCCATCCCTCTGTTCCGTGGTCGATCTTTCAGATCTTAAGACCTCTTCTCAAATCGAGGTTCAAGTATCACATATTACGGACATCTGGCCGATATATGCATATATTTTAAACACTTTTAGGCACCCCGTAAGTGTATGTATGGGCCCAAAAGCCTTATGATGCGTTTGTATCACCCGTGTATCATTCGTTCGTTTTTCATCTTCCAGCTCGCTTGAAGAATTTGGATGATATTTGATGTGGAAATTCTGTAACTGCAAATGATATATCAAATTATGATTGTGTGACGTTGTGGTTGTTTTCAGCTCGTATTGTAATGCGAATTTCTCTCGGAATTTCCTATTGTCTGAAATGTTGCCCCAGAATTCTAACAGATTTGTTCTGGACACTGCCTACGACATTTTCAGGTTGGTCTGTAGCCATTTTCTGATCTTAATACCGTCTTGAGGCGCTTTGAAAAAGGTTGTTGGCTTCATGCTGCTTGTACCTGTGATTCACTATGCTCTTACGGGTGAAGTTCAGAACTAAATTTATAGAATTATATCTTACTTGCCAATCAGTTTTATTGTTGCTGTAGTTGAAATGTTATAAGTAAGCATATTTCTTTTGTAAGAGGAACGTACATTAAAGATATGACATAAATTAAAAACCTGCAATTTTTATTTTGTAATTATAATTTTGCTATCTTGTTTAATAAATAGCATTCATTATTTTGACAGGTTGTTTAACGACACTGTACGTCTTGAAAATTTCAGATGAACTTATAATTACATCAGCATTGCTTGCCTGACAGCATGCCTGGTGGCACTTTGAGGCGAGACGTCTTGTATAAGCGTTGACAAGAACTCAATACGTTATAATATTTCCATTCCCGAACTAAACTTTTCACACATAAGACATTAATTATTCACTCGTGTCAAATATCATCTTACCAATACTATTTCGAGATGTTATCCACGGTTCACTTTATTTATTCGCCACTTGACAGCTCGTAACATCTGTTGGGGCTATTACACTGTTTATTTCAAATCTCTGACAACTCTTTGGCGTATGACCGTGGGGTAAATTTATGATTGTTTATATTTGAAAATGGACAATCAAATTTGAACATGAAGTTTGTCAACACATTATTATAATCTGACACTTAAACATGAGTTGAATATACGTTTTAGTACCACATTATTAAGTGACCAAGAAACTCATTGAACAAGGTGGAGAACAGAAAGTGAAGAACGCGTTGTGATTCACTTCTGTTCCCCTTCTGCGTCTTCATGGCGTGGCGTGTAGACTCAGGAACTCACTCTTAATATACAATCCGTCTAGTTTTCGTATGAAATGCTTTGTGATGAACAGGACGTTAGAAATGTGAATTGGTCGACTCTAATTCCTAGTAATACACGCGCACACACGAGGTGTGTCATTTAAAACGCAACGTAACACAGCAACACTCATAAACCATGATACAAAAGTCTAATCAGAGGCAGGTCTCCCTTAATATAATAGACTCTCCCAACCTCCCTCGTGACACTCGAGCCAAGGTCTTCCTCGCTGTTCATGAAAGTCGCGTGTATTCATTCTCAATCGTTAGTTCTCATCGAAATAGTTTGTTGGTGTCAGTGAGTGAAGCGTTTGGCAAAGTGTATTTTGAAAAGGAAGTAGGCAATGAGATGAAAATAACCGACTGGTAACAGAGATTCTGGGACACAGGAAGTGTTCTCATTGAGCGACAGAACTACTGAAGTTAGGGCCATAAGTTATTTCGTTCACCACCCGGGATAGCCTAACTGTATGAGTTTTGGGTGCAGGTGTACCTGTTCGTAAATATGTGAGTTTCGACCAATGTTGGAATTTTGTAATTAAGGTTTATGAAATAAGTGTGAATATGTTTCTTTTTTCGCTTGTTACAGGTAAGTGGGCCATTCCATTCAATGCCAGATATTTTGCATGCTCTCTGCGTAACAAGCACCCTGGTACGTAAGTGTACACCTCTTTTGTACTTCTTTTCGTGTTTGTGAAAGAATTGCAGTATCTGGTTCATTATATCACTTGTAGGCGAATTTGGGCTTGCTCCTAGAAACGTATTCTACAGGCTAGGTGGTGGTTTCTTCTTACTTCATTGGTAATTTCTGATCAATCTTTAGTGCAGTTATGACGAAATCATGTGTGATTAATTATGTTACTCAATAACGTCTATCCCATCTATTTATTAATTTAATATTAAATATGTTTTATGCACGCTGTTGATTAAATGTTTACAATGCAGCCTAAGTACAATGAAATTTAAATTGAATATTGGATTATTTTAACACGTGTTTGTTGATGGTTTATGCTTATTGTCTGTCCAGAACATAATATTCAGTGCCGATAAGACTATTATGTTCTCAGTTAATAAACAGTTGTTATTATCAACGACATACATCAAGCATATGTATGAAATACATAAAATAGTGTAACTTGTCACATCAGAAACCTGAAGATGGGGACAGTTTGTTCCCGAAACGTCGGTTTACTACGGTAACCAGTTAACGCGGCTGATTGCCCGAGAAGATTTTATTAACTATATAAGATCAGTGTATTTTTTTTTCCTGACGACGGTTTATTATGAAACTGACATTCTTGGTTTGAAAGAATCGGAAGGTGACTTTGCTTTGATATCCAATCCGAAATGTTGATATTGCAAATGGATTCTGAAAATTCTGGGGCTATTTCATGCTGTAAGTTGGTAATAACGGGTGCAGTCGCTATTTTGTTCTATGACTTTAGTGTGAGATTTCTACGGGGATGGTGGTATAAACACTACGAAACATGAATGATATCTCTATGAATTTTATACACTAGCTTGTGAAATACAAGAGTGACCTTGTCAGGAATCTGTAATGATAAAATGACGTTGTCCATAGGTCATTTGTTAGATTGCCCCGTTTATTTTTTTGTTTGACTGGCGCATGTGACGAAAGGTCTTATATTAATGCATCGTTTTAATGGACACATATTGATGGTCATATGACACGTGGATGAATAAAACATGACCTAATTAAGGAAACTGTTTTATGAATAAAAACTAATGCCGATAACAGCAGTGTCCATAGACTTTGCGTTGTTTACAGGTTTCAGCGAACTGGGATATATTTGGGGATCGATATTTTACATTCAGATACAAATATAAATATTATTTTTAAAAACTGGTTCATGTAAACTGAATTTAGTACATTGTCTAATGATTTACAAGCCAAAGTATGGTTTTGTTGTACATGTTTGGGCGAGGAATTAATGAAGACCCGCTAAGTTCTGGTGTAAATTTTAGACTAGTATGGGGCTCAGGTAACACGGTAGGTTATTGACAGAACCATCAATACCGAAAAGCTGAGGTAATATTTTTACAGAGTTAATCTTCTGTCCTCTTTTTTTAGCGTCATTTGGAAAGAGTACTTTTAGCCTTTTGCTAGAGGTTTACCATAGCTCTTAATGTATTTGTTTTACTGACACAGTGAACCCGTTCCCAGTCGCTATGCACGCGCAGGATATTGGTGTCTGCGTTTTTCATTATTGCTAATTATCCTGTCACAGAAGTAAACCCTCCTCCCCCTGGGTTGGCCTTTCTGTCATGGTTAGAACTCTCTGTAAATACGTTACCCGCTGCTTATAAATGTCTTTGAAGTGATTTCCACAATTGAGTGAAATCTGAAAACTATCTGCATAAATAATCGCATCCTGAAAGTTATTATATAGAGTTTATTTATATTGTTATATTATGTATTTAAGCCGCGACGGTGGTCTAGCGGTTAGAACGCTGGCCTTGTAATCCTGGGGTCTCGGGTTCAATTCCCGGCGGTGCCCGAATTTATAACTTGTGTTGGGCAAGGCCGTGGTCTAGGCAACACGGAGTTTTCCTCCGGGGGCTTCCCCGGTTTCTCCGTGGCATCCCAACAATTACTCCATACTCCATACACACAGAAGAAGGCAATGGCAAACCACTTCTGGATCATCTGCCAAGAACGTATATGAACAGGTCCCAGTCCGAGAAAAGGCTGGAAGGATCCTGTTCATATGGACCTGTCGTCAGACAGAACACTAAAAAATAAAATAAAAATAAAAAATGTATTTAATTAACTGTAATAGTTTACCCACACTACTTAGGATCATTTTACTATTCGGCATCCATCAAATGAATGGAGAATGTTTAGTGCCGAAGTAGACCCACTCAGTTTCGAAGAATAGGGTAGAATCATAGCGGCGAGCTCACTAGCATGTAATGCTCTCAGAAAGGGTAAGGGCCCCTTCACACGTGGCTCATATGAGCGGCTCACGCGAGCTGAAGCGACTGCTTGGGATAGAAATTCCAGCAAAAAGCATTGAACCCTTTCACACGAGAGCCACTGAACCTATGTGAGCGGCTCACGTGAGCTGAAGCGACTGCTGGTGTTAGAAATCCCAGCAAAATGCATTGGACCCTTTCAGACGAGAGCCACTGAACCTATGTGAGCGGCTCACGTGAGCTGAAGCGACTGCTGGGGATATAAATCCCAGCAAAATGCATTGGACCCTTTCACACGAGAGCCACTGAACCTATGTTAGCGGCTTACGTGAGCTGAAGCGACTGCTGGGGATAGAAATTCCAGCAAAATGCATTGAACCCTTTCACACTAGAGCCGGTGAACCTATGTGAGCGGCTCACGTAGGCTGAAGCGACTGCTGGGGATAGAAATCCCAGCAAAATGCATTGGACCCTTTCAGACGAGAGCCGCTGAACCTATGTTAGCGGCTCACGTGAGCTGAAGCGACTGCTGGGGATAGAAATCCCAGCAAAATGCAATGGACCCTTTCAGACGAGAGCCGCTGAGCATCTATGCAGCTCTCCCCGCTAGTAGCGGCTACTGGCGGGAAGAATTCTGTCTGCTTTAACATTGAACATTTTCACACGAGGCAGATCAAGCCAGTCTAGCCGACGCATTTATACGAGAGGGTCACATTGTGGGGGTGGGGGAAAACTCCAGTAAGTTGTTTAAAAAACTCCAATAATTGTTTGTAATAGATACTATTAAGTTGCTGACGCTAGAGGAGGTTCATGAGAGCCGAACTCTGAAACCCACTACTACTACAGCTCCAGGTTGTACGTATTTGACACTGTCACACCATGAAAACAAACGGAAAAATATTCCCGTCATTAGTTCTTTTCAGTACTTAACCAACGGTTTTCAATTATGTTCAATACTGCACAGCACTTAGAACATTACACAGATATCTTTTTTAGAAGTGTTCAGCGTATTTATGCCTGAATCTTCCACACGTCTCCGTGGCGTGATTTTTGGTTTGCCTTACCGTAGGCTGTCTTGATCGTACAGTGATTTCTGACTGGTCATTGAGAGACGTACTTTGACCGCAAGGAAACAGAGACTGACTCTGAGTGGTCCCAAAGAATCCTTTATGATCAGTTGATAAAGTGCGTTTATTGAAGCGATTGACGGGGAATTTAACCGAACGGTAAGTGTACTACTTTGAATCAATCGGAGTGTAATGCGTGAAGCTTTTAGACGTCACCATACAGGTGTAAAATTTTGTACAAAAAGCGCATCGAAAAAAGAACCTCACAACTATGATGATAACTGTGTCTGTGGGTGTATATTTCATATAAAGGCATTAACCCTGCTACTGAACTGATCGGGGAAAACAACATTATGCTAGTAGGCGAGTTATGATGGTATCAAGCTGGGAAATTGAATGCGGTAGCACAATGCGAGAAGAACGGGCCCCTATAAGACTCGGCCGTGCGGAACTTTCTGCCTTGTATATCTCTCATTGGTTCGAAAAGAGAAAAACGTCGGTGTATAATAAAGCAATCACGTTCTTTGTATTCTTCCATTAATAAAGTAAGATTACGGCGCTACTGAGTGAATTTCATCTGTAATTTATATACCGAGGCTGTCGAGTAATGCAGGAAAATGTACGCTCTCTTCTTATACTACGCGATTTAGTAACTGAAGAAGAACGTGTTTTGGTGGGTGAACTATGTAAGATATTATTCCATGCATTGTGAGCAGCGAAGTTATTCAGAGATTAATGAAATAAACATGTATTTAATTTGTATCTGTATGTATTTACTTGTTTTATATCAAGGCCAATATAAAATTTGTTAATAATGTTTGTATGCCTTTATGCAGAGATTGTAATTGGCATTAAAAATGGCTTTATTATTTTGTTTTGGTGATGTAACTAGTGCACAGTACTTATAATGTCTTTAGTCAGTATAGTATTTCTTAACTAATAATAAAGAATTGAATTATTATTATTTTTATGGCGATGGAAGGTAATTTCCGTATCGCACGTTCAACCCAAGACAATGAGACGTCTATAACTGAGATGGCATGACCAGTTTCAGAACGATCGTGGTTGTATTTTACAAAATTTAAAAGGAACAAGTTCGAAGGTATTTCATAATTACGAAGTAACCTATTACGTCAGGAATTTAAAATTTCATACGATTAAATCATAACATTTACTTCAAGCGCGAACAGGGTAAACAAAATGTTCTTGCAAGTTAGTGATATTTGTTGTGTGATGATGGTATTAATGATTCTGTTAAACTTTTTATTCTTTGTGTGCTGAATCAACGGACTTAGGCCAATTACAGTTACAAGAAAGTCAACAGTAACATTGACAGTAATTAATTGTAATTCAGTGTCTCTGTCAACAGCAAGAATCCTGTGACACGGAAATAGTTATAGATGGACATTTAACAATGAAATAATAATAACAAAAACAAATGTTAATCGATCTAAAATTACAAAAGCAGCCGCAAAATTATAAAGGTTCAAAATAAACAATTCACTTATGGCTATGGAATAATTGAAGGGGATTGTGCTTTAGTCAGGAAACCTGAATCTTACCGGGATTTGAACAGTTTATCTAAAGAATACGAACCTGTAAATGAATCTCGGCATCCAGACTTTAGTTCTTACGTACCGAGAAATTC